TTTGAAGCATGTTGACAAGGGTGATCCAGTTGATATAGTGTATTTGGACATTCAGAAGTCTTTGACAAGGTCCCGTACCAAGACTCTTAAGTAAAGTAAACAATTATGGGATAAGAGGGAAGGTCCTTCATGGATCAGTAGCTGGTTGAAAGATAGGAATCAAAGGGTAGGAATAAATAGTCAGTTTTCACAATGGAAAGTGGTAAATAGCAGGGTTCCCAAGGATCTATACTGGGACCTGCACTGTTCAACATACTCATAAATGATCTGGAAAAGGGGGTCAACAGTGAAGTGGCAAAATTTGTAGACAATACAAAATTACTCAAAATAGTTAAGTCCAAAGCTAACTGTTACAAAGGGATTTCACAAAGCTGGGTGACTGGACAACAAAATGGCAGATGAAATTCAATGTTGATAAGTGCAGAGTAATGCACACTGGAAAACATAATCCCAACTATGCATACAAACTGATAGGGTGTAACTTAACTGTTACCACACAAGAAAGCAATCTTGTAGTCCTCATAGATAGTTCTCTGAAAACATCTGCTCAGTGTTTAGTGGCACTCAAAAAAGTTAGCAGAATGCTAGGAACCATTACGAAAGGTGTAGATAATAAAACAGAAAAATATAGTCCCACTGTATAAACCCATGCCCACACCTTAAATACTGCATGGAGTTCTGGTTGCCCATCTCAAAAAAGATACATTAGAATTGGAAAAGGTACAGAAAAAAGGCAACAAAAATAATGAAGAGTACAGAACAGCTTCCATACAAGGAGAGATTAAAAAGACTGGGACTGTTCATTTTAGAAAAGAGACAACGAAGAAGGGATATGATAGAGATCTATACAATTGTGACTGGTATGGAGAAAGTGAATAAGGAAGTGTTATTTATCCCTTCACATAATACAAGAACTAGGAGTCACCCAATGAAATTAACAGGCAGCAAATTTAAAACAAAAAGGAAGTACCTCTTCACACAATGCACAAGCTGTGGAACTTGTTGCCATGGGATGTTGTGAAGGCCAGAAGTATAACCAAGCTCAAAAGAGAATTAGATAAGTTCAAGGAGGATAGGTCCACCAATGACTATTAGCCAGAACAGTCAGGGATGCAACCCCATGCTCCAGGTATCCCTAAACCTTCAACTGCCAGAAGCTGAGACTGGATGACAGAAGATGGATCACTCAACATTGTCCTGTTCTGTTCATTTTCTCTGAAGCATCTGGCACTGGCCACTATCAGAACATAGGATACTGGTACAGATGAACCATTAGTCTGACCCAGTATGGCCGTTCATATATGACTCTGTGCTTTGGTTATTCTGTAGGTCAAATGGGGCTAATGATCAGCCAGGCTTGTAAAGTACTTTGAGAGCTATGGAAGCACTACAGCAGCAAAAACAACATATATGTTTTAGGGCTGTTGATTAATCGCTGTTAACTTATGCAATTAACTCAAAAAAATTAACCGCACAGTTTTAATCACACTGTTAATAGAATACCAATTGACATGTATTAAATATTTTGGATGTTTTTCTACATTTTCATATATATTGATTTCTGTGTTGTAATTGAAATCAAAGTGTATATTATTTTTATTACAAATATCTGCACTGTAAAAATGATAAAAGAAATAGTATTTTTCAGTTCACCTCATACAAGTATTGTAGTGTAGTTTTTGTCGTGAAAGTGCAACTTTCAAATGTAGATTTTTTTTGTTACATAACTGCACTTAAAAACAAAACAATTTAAAACTTCAGAGCCTACAAGTCCACTAAGTCCTACTTCTAGATCAGGCAATCACTAAGACAAACAAGTTTATTTACATTTACAGGAGATAATGCTGCCCTCTTCTTATTTACAGTGTCACCAGAAAGTGAGAACAGGCATTTGCATGGCACTGTTGTAGCAGGCATCACAAGATATTTACGTGCCAGATACACTAAACATTCATATGCCCCTTCATGCTTCAGCCACCATTCCAGAGGACATACTTCCATGCTGATGATGCTCGTTAAAAAAATAATGCGTTAATTAAATTTGTGACTGAACTCCTTGGGGGAGAATTGTATGGTCCCTGCTCTATTTTACCCGCATTCTGCCATACATTTCATGTTATAGCAGTCTCGGATGATGACCCGGCATATATTGTTCATTTTAAGAACACTCACTGCAGATTTCACAAAACACAAAGAAGGTACCAATGTGATATTTCTAAAGATCGTAACAGCACTCCATCCAAGGGTTAAAAATCTGAAGTGCCTTCCAAAATCTGAGAGGGACGAGGTGTGGAGCATGCTTTCAGAAGTCTTAAAAGAGCAACACTCCGATGCGGAAATTACAGAACCCGAACCACCAAAAAAGAAAATCAACCTTCTGCTGGTGGCATCTGACTCAGATAATGAAAATGAATATGCATTGGTCCGCACTGCTTTGTTTTCGAGCAGAACCCATCATCAGCATGAACGCATGTCCTTTGGAATGGTGATTGAAGCATGAAGGGACAGATGAATCTTTAGCACATCTGGCACGTAATATCTTGCGATTCCAGCTACCACAGTGCCATGAGAACGCCTGTTCTCACCTTCTGGTGACGTGGTAAATAAGAGGGCAGCATTGTCTCCTGCAAACCAAACTTGTTTGTCTGGGCGATTGGCTGAACAAGAAGTAGGACTGAGTGGACTTGCAGGCTTTAAATTTTAAATTGTTTTATTTTTGAATGCAGTTATTTTTGTACATAATTCTACATTTGTAAGTTCAACTTTCATGATAGAGATTGCACTACAGTACTTGTATTAGGTGAATTGAAAAATAATATTTCTTTTGTTGTTTACAGTGCAAATACTTGTAATCAAAAATAAATAAAAAGTGAGCACTGTTGACTTTGTATTCTGTGTTGTAACTGAAATCAATATATTTGAAAATGTAGAAAACATCCACAAATATTTAAATAAATGATATTCTATTCTTGTTTAACAGTGCAATTAATCACACAATTAATCGCGATTAACTTTTTTATCACTTGACAGCCCTAGTATGTTTTTATTACTACTATATGTTTGTTGTATCATACTTTAGTGGTCTCCAAGTGGGGTGCGCGCAAGAGGATCCTTCGGGGTGCGCGGCAGGAGGAGCGCTGCCAGAGCAGCACTGCTTTTTTTTTTCCCCCTTCAGCAGTTCAGCTGGAAGTCCGAGCGGCTTCCCCCACCCCCACCCCCCGCCCACCTCGGCAGTTCGTCTGGGAGCAGGGAGTGCGTGCTCAAAAAATTTTTACTGATGGGGTGCACAATCAAAAAAGTTTGGAGACCACTGTCATACTTGATCAAGTAGTAAAATATTACACCATACAAGTATAATAGAAATATAAAAATAAGAGTGCAAATTCTATTCTTAATTACACAGTGCAGTGCCACTAATATCAGCTTTGCCCCCAATGTTTAATCCAGTGGCTCTCAAACTTTTTTACTGGTGACTCCTTTCACATAGCAAGCCTCTGAGTGTGACCCCCCCCCTTACAAATTAAAAATACTTTTTTATATATTTAACACCATTATAAATGCTGGAGGCAAAGCGGGGCTTGGGGTGGAGGTTGACAGCTCGTGACCCCCCCATGTAATAATCTCACG